CCCACCACGCAGGGCAAAAATCTCCACCCTGAGATGTGTTCATCCTATTTCCGGGCAGAGCTGGACCTAGCCATGAGTCTTGTGCTGGCTGGGTCTCAGGGCTGGCTCTCCTGGGAGTTGGTGGGGGAGATGGATGATATGAAGCTACATATGTGGTGTGCTCAGTCCAGGACCCCTTTATTCGGCCCCCTCCCTTCTCTTCAGCTGTTCCTTTCCTGTCTTTCCCAGCACTCCAGGCCCTGAGTATTCTATGTCCGACAGAATTCGTTCTAGACTCCTAGCTCACCACCCCTGGAATTAGGACCCCCCCCCCTAAAATAGTCACCTGGGCTCTCACAGGACCTAATGCAGGGCACACAGTAAGCATCCCCAAACGACTGGAAACTGCATGAGAACCATGCCAGGTGGGCCTATACTAGAGCTGACTCTACTTCTCCAAAGACAGAGAAGGATGACCTTCAAATTAAATTAGCCCTTAGTGAGGCGAGAGTTGGTTCTCTCTGGTAGGATGGTTTAGTTAGTATTCTCTAAGGACAGGAGAACCCAGCAGAGCCAGTCTACAGTGCGTTAGTGAGGATGCTGCCCCTGCAGGATGCCTGGGATGTTACTTTGGAGCAGGAAAGTGTAGCCTTTTGGGGAGGGGGAAACAGCTAAGTGTACCGAGCTAGTTGAAACCCTTGAAACTGTTTCCCACCTCTGTGTGGTGGAATCAGTATTCCCCCATCCCCACCTTTGTCTCACTCACTCGGAGAAAAGGGACAAACAGAAAAGAAAGACCGAGCTGGGAATAGGCCAGACCCCATAGGGTGAGTGAAAGGCACAACGTGCCATCTGGGAATGGGACTGTCAATTGGAACACAAAAATGTCTCCAACTTTGACACACAAGGCATTGTGATCAGCTCTCAGGGAAAGCCATGAGCCAGCAGTTTGCGACAAAGCTGGCAGGCAGCTGGGATGTTGAGCTGGAGGATCGTGTTCCGGAGGGGCAACACCCCTCCTCAGGTCAGGCTGGCACTTGGGGGCAGCTATTTCAGGCTGGAGGGGATTAAGGCTGGAGCATGACGAATGAGCATATTCACACACAACACACACACACACACACACACACACACACACACACACACACACACACACACACACTTCCCAACCTCTCGGTTTCTTCTCCCATGCTGGTTCCTAAGATCTGCCTCTTACATCAACTCTGGTCCTCTTCCTCAGGAAGACACGGGACTCTTTCTTAAATGAGCTCTTGCAAGACCCCACCCATCCTGGGAGACAGTGACAGAGCCTGATTAGAGGAAGATGCACAGCAAACCCTATTCACCTTCACCCCTTGTGCCCAGACTGTGTGCAGGCTCAAGTTCATCTAATTCCTCCAAGCTGGATCATCTCCCCTTACCTCTGCCTGACCTGAAAAGTCTCAGGTCACATCCCCAGGAAGCTCAGCATGCGGCAGCAGTCCCAAGCCTTGGCAGATTGGAGCACACTGCCTTTAGCCCTCTGACAACTTTGGAAAAGCAGAGCTTGCTGCGTGTCAGAGAAAAGTCCACCCTTATGAGGAGAGATGGGCATCAGCATCCTCCATAGGCTGCTGGGGAGTCCGTAAGCTAAGAGAGGGCTCCTTAGTAGGTTGTTTAAGCCCAGCACCTCAGGGTTATGCTTGCTCCCTACCTCTTCTCCCCTCTCCCAAGTGCTTTTTTTTTTCTTTTTTGGTTTTTCAAGACAGGGTTTCTCTGTAGCTTTGAAGCCTGTCCTGGAACTAGCTTTTGTAGACCAGCCTGGCCTTGAACTCACTGCCTCTGCCTCTCCGAATGCTGGGATTAAAGGCGGGTGCCACCACCACCCGGCCCTCTTCCAAATTCCTGCTTCCCAGCAATTCATTTATTTTTTCTGTTCATGATCTTCATCTTGCTATGGCCGCCATTCCTCTTCCTGTTGTCTTTCGGCCTTGGCCTCATGTTTCCTGCCTTTGCCTCTGTCAGTGTCTCTCTGTCTCATTTCCTTCACTTCTCCTTCCTGAAAACTTTGGCCTCTCCCTGCCTCCCTCCTGAATGATGCTAACCTCTGTCCTTCCTCCCCCTTTTCTTAGTTTTCCCCCCCTCTTCCTTCTCCCTTTGCGCACCCTACTACATTACTTCTTTCAACCAATGCCTATTGGCCCCTGAACACACAGAAGACATCATGGCCACAGCTGGCATCCTCAGGCAACAATATTGAGGGAACAAATCTATTTCAAGAGGATATTAGCAAGCAGAAAGCACGGGTAGCTGTTTTTAGATCTGTAATAAAGTGATCTGGTGATTTCAGATATATAAAATGCTGTGTCAAGGCGAACGACATGTGCTTTCCAGGAGAGGAAGAGAGAGATGCAGCTTCTCATCTAACATCACATGTGGCGTTTGCAGGATTAATGATAGGCTCTCAGGTGCGAGAAGGAAAGGGCTGTCATAGAAGGGGGTGGCTGAGATCTCCATAGGAGAGCAACCTGGCCACAGCCTCTGGGAAAAGGCTGGTTCAGCCTTGTAAAGAACAGGGATTTAGGATGGAAGATGTCCCCTCATCAGGTAGGCATGGAAAAATGGTTGTGGCACCTAGAGCAATGTGGCTCAGGCATGAAAATGGAGGCTAGACCTATGAGGTCTTGAATGTCGGACAGGCAGATGGGAAAACCCTGGTGGCAATCGGGCTCTGGAGACCACACAGGCTTCGGGATGAGAAATGCAGCAGCGGCAATGTAAAGGGAGCACAGGATGGAGGGATGGCCAAGGAAGACAGGTGGGAAGGAGGCGGTGGCAATCAGAGGAAATGAGGGGACTAATTTGAGTTACACCAACTAGGAATAGCTACGTATCTTTCCCCCTCTGTCTTTGGGTGTCTTTGTTTTACTCAACTGCCTGAGTTTTTCTTTCTCTGGGATCAGAGGCCTTTCTGGAAAGGCTATCCGATGGCTAGTCTCACTCAAGCTCAGAGACACGGAACCTGGGCACGCCCCAGAGATCTGGCTTTTGCAGTTAGTGGTTCGAACACCTGGATCATCCAGAATCCATGTTCCTTCCTGACAAACTCCACTTCGCTGTAAATGCCTGCTTCCTCCAGGTTAGCTTGTCAACCTCAGACAGACCTCCAACCCTGAGGGGCCACTGTGGCTGCTGAGCCTCCAGCCCCTCCTTCCTGGCCTCTCCATCCTGCTACCTTAGTACACCCCCAACTCCAGCGCTCAAGGTAGAGTCGGAGGACCCAGGAGGGGAAATCCAGGGCCTCTCCAAGGACCTGATTATTTCCAAAGACTTGTGCTAATTTTCTGATATGATCCTCACATCTCTGCGAGGCACTAAATCCTCATTACTTTTCCTGACCGATGCATTCTAATTAGATCAACACTTAAAAAAAATTCACAATAGCCACAGGATGGCTTTCCATCTCATTAACTCCTCACTTATTATTTTCATGAAAATTACTGATAAAAATGTGCATCTCCATTTGGTGAGGCTTCGCAGCCTCCTCAGCTCCTATCTTACATCTCTCCCGTCACCAGGGCTGCGCAGCGTCGCCATGGTAACCCACAATAATAGAAACTAATAAATTACAAACGAGATGCTCGTTGAGCAATTATTGTCCTCTTTTATGCAAGTTTCTTGCTAATTTCGATCATAAGGGAAAGTACAATAAGACTCTGAAGGAATGAGTCTATTTCAAGAGAATATTAGCAAGCAGAAGCCAAGGCTGCTGTTTTTAGATCTGTAATAAAGTGATTTGGTGATTTTAAGCAATACAAGAAGGAAATAAACTTCTTGCCCCATGTCCTTTGTCGTTTTTAGTATCAAGTCCCAGAGAGATCGCAGTGGGGTAAACATGATGCAGTACTGAGTGTACTTGTGGAGGTGAGGGGGGGTCACAATGTGCAAAGTGTGTCCCTCCCCTCGCCCCTGTAAACCAGAGTCCTAACACCTAAAATGAAAATGGCACAGCTTCTTAGGTGGCTTTCACAGTAGCTTCCAATACTCACCCTTAGAACGTTAACCTGCATCCCAGTCCCTGTCTGAGGAGGAGGGCCACCGTGAGCCTCCCAGGGGCATCTGTGTCTGTGCGTGTGCTTTCTGGACTTCAGGAACTCGGTGACAGGGAAACGACCTTGTGAGCCTACAGTCTAGGTAGATGCCAGCAAGAGTATACAGGAAGAGTTGGGTAGCTTTCTGACTGTAGACCTGGAGAACACATTCTGTCCTAGAGAGAAGTGTTCACTCTTCCCTATAGTGTAGAACAGGCACCATCTCCTCAGAGGAAGGTAGCAGAGGGAATCTTAGAAGGGGATTGGCTAAGGTGTCTTTTACAGCGGCCTGGCACCTTAGTGGGACAGAGGTACCAGGGAGAGTAAACAGAGGATGAGCGAGGAGAAGCAGTCCTGCGGAATTTCTTATCTACTAGGTGCATAGAATTTGGGGGAAGGATCAGCTTCCCTGATACCTTCTTCCAGGAGTGCCAAGAGGCACTTCATGCCCTCCAGAGGAGAATGTTTGCCAGGAGGTCTACCTACCATCCCCAGGTGTCAGTTAGGCAACTATCATTTCTCCTTTATGGACTGGGACCCACCCACTTCTTGGTAAATCCTGATGTAGGGAGTGAGAGTCAGGAATTTCTTTGGATACTGTTTTTTTTTTTTTTTTTTTTTTTTTTGATATGGTCATTTAGGGCATGCTCAGACCCTGGCAGGTAGGAGTCTATGTTAAAAAACAAAATTAAAAAAAGCAAAAAAACCTATCCTGGTTAGGTATGGCGGCTAAGGTAGCAAGATCGAGAGTTTGAGAGCAACCTAGGCTACATTCTAAGACCCTGTCACAATCAAGTACAAAATAAGGGCCGGTGCTGTCAGACGGAGGGAGAAAGAGGGCCTCCCTGTAAAAGGGTCTGATGATGCAAATGGCTTTGCCCAGGTCGCTGGAGTCCTTCAGACCTTTCTGCACGCCTGGCCGAGGAGCTAAGGCCCATCCCTGTGTGTTACCTGTGAGTGAAGGTTTATGGAGGGCTGGTTGGGGGAGTAGGGGCCCCCGAGGTCATTCCTGAGCAGGTTATCGCTATGCATCTTGGTTTTGAGGCAGGTGATATAACGGTTGCAGAAGTCTTTGCAGAGTTCATTGACTTTCTCCAACTCTAGCAGGTGGATCCTCAGGACCTGGATTGCCTTCACCATCTGGGGAGAGGAGGAGGAGCTGTAAGCCCAGGTGTCTGCATCACATCCCCCTCCCTCAAGCCCCCGGCCCCAACCTTGGCAGAGGATTGGTGCCAGTCGTTGCTGGGGCTCCTGTTTCCCACCCAGATGGTTTAAACTCTCCAGATGAGCTGTTGTTGACAATTACTTGCTTTTAGCCCACTGCTATCACAGCTGTTCTGGAGGCAGTTGTGGTCTTCTGAGAACAGCATTGACCTTAGCAATAGAAGTCCAGGTTCAAGCCCCAGGTTTGCCGTAGATTGTCTATGTAGCCTTGGACAACTTGCTGAAACTCTCTATGACCCCCCCACTTCGTGTCTACTAAATGGGAATGTTACACCCTCTCCAGCAACTTCACATGCTGAGATATCATGGGAGAGGACCATGGCAGCTCTATACAGCTTAAAGTATTAAGTAAAACCAAGAAAGACAGTGGTCAGAGTTTTTTGGAAATGCCCCAGAGGTCAGACATTGTCTATTCTTAAGTTTATATTCCATGAGCTTCATGTAATATGGGCTGTCTTACTCTGATAATATCTGCTGACAGACTGGATAATTCAGCATGACTTAGCTGGGCGCTGGGTACCAACTGTCTGCTTTCTGTACCCTTTTGGTTACTGCACAAGGGCCTCTTCAAATGGTCATCCCTGATCCTATTATGGCTAGAAGCTACCTTGCATTTGAAGTTCTTTTTTCTTTGTTGTCATTATTGTTTCTGTTAGGGTTTGTTTCATTTATTTTGTTTCATCAATTTTTTAGACAGGACTTCATGTAGCCCAGGCTAGTCTCTAACTCATTATATAGCTAAGGATGACCTTGAACTCATAATCCTCCTGCATCTACCTCCCAAACACGAGGATTACAGGCATGTACCACCAAACTCAGCTTGTTGCTCTAATCGTCATAAGAGGAAAATACATGGAAGGTATGGAAAACACAGGACCAAAAAAAAAAAAAGTCTTTATTTTATTTTAGAGTAATTGTCTTTATCCACTTACCCTAAAAGAAAAGTTTCTGTTTCCCCCCTCATTTATTTTAAACTTTATTTATTTATATGTGTGCATATTAGCTATGGTGCTCATGTGGAGGTCAGAAGACAACGGTGGGAGTCAGGTCTCTTCTTCCATTATGTGTGTCCCCAAGATCGAGCTTGAAGTTGTCAGGTTTGACAGCAGGGGTCAGCTTGCTGGCCGACATGAATATATATTAACCAACCTCCAATAAACTTAACGCATACAATTTTGCTTTCTGGTGTTCCCTTAGCTCATCAAATATGCTTCTCTAAGTTCCAGAATTGTTTTCTCTATCTCTCTTTTGGACTGTGAGCGGAGAGAAGGCAGGGATGACATCTAATTGGCTCACAGCGTTATCTTATTTACATAAAATAAATATTGAATGGATGAGAATTATTTTCAATTGTCACATATGAGTCCATATGTGTGCTTTATTTAACTAGGTCTCTGTTGCTGGGTACTTATAGTACATTCAAATTTTCAGTTTTATTTAGAAAAAAGTTACACAATGAGGCTAGAGGACAAAGTAGCTCTAACTCAATCATAGAACAATAGAACACTTACTTGCCTAAGCATTCATTAGGCCTTTGGTTTGATCTACACACACACACACACACACACACACACACACACACACACCAGAGATTATTTTCTAAGTACATAGCTTTGTCTTCCATTTCTGCATTATTTCCTCAGTGTGAATTCCTAAGAGTGACAGGAGAAAAATCTACATACATTGCAATGGATCTTGACAAATAAACTCGAATTGCTTCCCAACAGGGGCTTGTTCAAATTGTGTTAGGATAACCAGACATCCATAAACGAGCAGATTAAAAAAAAAAAAAACGAAACCTGAACCTTAATTTAAACTCCACATCTAATACGGAGATTAATTCAAATGGAGCATGGACCTAAATATAAGACCTTCCACTCCCAAAAAACAAACATTTTTGGAAAAAAGAAAATGGAGTCAGGTGCTGTGGCCCATACCTTTAATCTCACCACTCAGAGACAAAGGCAAGTAGATCACTGAATTCAAGGCCAATCTATTCTATAGAACAAGTTCCAGGACAGCCAGGGCTACACAGAGAAACCCTGTCTTGAAAAACAAAACAAAAAAGAAAGAAAATAGAAAGTCTTAGTATGTAGGGTTTGGCAAAGAAATTTTAGACTTAATACCAAAAGCATCATCTAGAAATGGAAGATTACGTGCTTGCTAAAATTAAAAATGTTTGTTCTTAGAAAGAACTTGCCAGGCATGGTAGTATAAACCTTTAATCCTAGGACTTTGGAGACAAAGGCAGGAAGATCTCTGTGAGTTCAAGACCAGCCTGACTTACATAGGGAGTTCTGTAATAGCCAGGGCTACATAGAGAAACCCTGTTTAAAAACAAACAAAAAAACAAAACAAAAAAATCATTATCAACCACAACAAAACCCTGTGAAGAAGATGAAAAGACTAGGGACTGGGAGAGAATAGCTACAAAACGCATATCCGACAAAGGGCTTGCACCTCGAATATGTAAAGAACTCTTAAAACTAAATGGCAAAATAACAAGCAACCCAATTAGAACAAGGGCAAAAGGCATGATCAGATGTTCTGCTGAAGAGGATATACAGATGGCAAATAAGCACACGGAAAGATGTTCAATGTCATTAGCCATTAGGGAAATGGCAATTGCAACCTTAGCAAAGTATCTCTGCACACATATGCATAGTTACAGCTAGAAACCGGTGGCATGCGAAGAACTGGACTGTGGCTCACTTGTGCATTGATGGTGGGAATGTGAGGCCACGTAGTCACTGCAAACAGTGACTGCACACAGTGGGACAATTCCTCACAAAATGAAGCATGTTTGCTGCATGTTATGAATGTCTTTAATCCCAGTTGAGAGGCAGAGGCAGGCGGTTCAAGGCCAGCATGAGTTATCTAGTGAATTTTAGATTATCTAGGGCTACATAGTGAGAACCTGTCTTAAAAACAAAAACAAAAATGAACAAACAAAACAAAGCAAAACAAAATATCCAAACTAAGCATGTACTTAACATATGACCCAGCAGCTTGGGGGCATTTACTCCAAAGAAATAAAAAATGTATTCTCTCTCTCTCTCTCTCTCTCTCTCTCTCTCTCTCTCTCTCTCTCTCTCACACACACACACACACACACACAATGGACAGCTTTATATCAATATATCAAATGGCCTCAAACTAGAAACAGATGAATGGACGGTATATCCATGTCACAGACTACAGATGAATGGATGGAATGGTACATCCATGTCACAGACTACAAATGAATGGATGACATGGTACACCCATGTCACAGACTACAACTTGGCAATAAAAAGGAATTAACTATTAATACACTCAACAACTTGGATGTATTATGGGGAATTATGCTATGAGAGAAAAACCAGTCTTAAAGGGATAGATGCTAATAGCACAGTGACATTTGCAGGACATCCTTGAAATGACAAAACTGGAAGACAAAACAGACTAGTCATTGGTGGGATAGAGTGAAGAACCATTCTCTACCTTGACTATAATATGCTTACATGAATCTAGACATAACAAATTCACATAGAACCTGGCAGACATGTATGCACATACAAGTGAGTATGTGTAAAATTGACAAAAATCTGAATATGGTTGGTAGCTGTGCTCTGATTAAGCAAAAAGGGAATCAGGACCTCTCATACTAATGCTTACAATTGCCTGCAAATTTATGATTATATAAAAATAAAAACATGTAGATGGGGTTACTGCCTTTCCTTATCTGCTTATGTTGACATGGATAACGTGTGGGTGATTCTAATGCCAACCTCCTAGTTTTTGGTAGCGTTACAATGCCTGGGGACCAGCTCAGACAATACAAACATGAAACAAGGGGGCTGAGGTTGGTTAGTAGTTGGTAAAGTAGCACTTGCCACAAGCTTGAGCTTGATTGCCAGGTCAGGTTTAGAAACACAAAGAAGAAACTGTCTCCTAGAGGACTTTGATGAGCAAGGACTGAGCTCTGAGCTCAACTAATTAAGGTTTCTACCAAATTGAAATGAAGGGTCACAGACTGAAGCTTGACACAGGGCTCTTTTACAAGGTCTCATCCTACAGATGTCAACTCCAAGAGGCTCAGATTGACGCACAAGGAGCACACCAAGTTAAAGAGGGGAGTGATGATGCTCGGATAAGTAGTTTGGACCGAAGGGAACTTGAGAAAGACGTGTTCTCATCTGTGTTTTCTGCTTGGCTTCAGCTTGGAAGGTCTCGTCTTGTGCCTGTTAGGATAGCCAGCCCAGTGTGCGATGCACAAGAGATACTGAGGAAGGACTGGCAACACTGAAACATGTCTTACTGTATGTCTGCCACTGGGCTAAGTCCATTCTATGCTCTGTCTTATTTATTCTAGCAACCTCCTCTGCGGGCAAGTACTCTTATTGCCCACCCACACTTTATAGTTGAAGAAAATGAAGTCCACAGACAGCTTTTCGTCCCAGTGCACACAACTGGTAGGCAATAGGAAGCCCTATGGCCTTGCCCCTGAGATCAAATTGCTTCTATGGTCTCTCAGGAGTCAGGTATGTTAAAAATGATGGTAGTATAAAGGGTATGTGGTTCGGGGGTAGGTGGGGGCCTGCAAGGTGAGGAGATTGTGCAAACACACCAGGACCTGTGGTTGCAGCCTCTCTTCTATGCCATCCCTACCACTGGGAGCCGACCTTATTGTTTTGGATGGTCTCTATTTTCTTTCAATGTGCTGATTAAGAAGTTCTTCCTTACACAGAACTCAAATATCTCTTGCCTTACTGTAAAGGGCTTGCTCAGCCTTATGTAGAACCAAGGACATCAAGTGCCTCCAACAACATAACCTTCTTCATTTAATTTTATCACTGCACTTAGCAAGTCATCTGACTTGAATAAATTGCTCAACTATGTTGAAACAAACCCAATTCTAATATTATCCTTTTTTC